TTTGCATTTCCTTACATCATCCAGGTGATCCTTACCTGCATTTTGAGGGTGTGTGCTTTCCGGAAAAATAATTCACCCAGAGAGTACGGGTGCGGGTTCTCTACTCGGGATGAACCGTGGTTTATAGTGTCCTTCCAGGGCCTCACAGACGAGCCCCAAACTGGGATGTCTGGGGAAGTCTCTCCATATCCGCCTTGGGAAGGGTTAGTCCTGAACCTCCAGTAGCAAAGCCATAAATCCAAGGCTGCTCCCAGAGGACAGGGGTCAAGTCTGCTTTGTTAAGCATTCTACCTTCATCCTCTAAATGAGTGATACAACCTAACAGTTGTTCAATAAATATTTATTGAGTTAATGAAGGAACACCAAGTGAGATGTCCAAATCTGCAGCGCTTCATTCATCAGATTGTGAGTGATGTGCAGGAGAGGAACACTTGTGATTACAGACACAGAATGAGTTTAACAGGAAGTCATTGATCCCAACTGGCTGTTCCCCACATTAAGCATTTAATTTTCACAGCGACCAAGTAATTAACATAGTGCCTTATAAATGCAATCGATATTGTCACCATCACCATATCATCCTCATCATTGTTACTATGACTTTCTTTCAAAGTGGGCACTCAGGACACATGTCGGTATTTCTAAGTATTTCATTAGACTTCACATTGTGGGAGAAATGCCACTGTGTTTAGCCTATTAATATATTTTTGTGTCATAAGATTATTATCCAATGTGTTATCCTTATTAGTTTAATGTCATCAGATATTTTATCAACACATCATGTATGACTTTGTCCAAGACATCAACACACATGATAAATTTTATCTTCTCTGGGTAATGATTCCTTTGTCTTTATTACCTTTGGCTAGGTAATAATGCCAATGTCATTCATCTTTCCCTTTAGCAAACTGGAAAAAAATAGAATAATAGAAAGAGAGATAGGTTTAAAATACTCATGAATTTTCAGATGTTTCAGAATTTTCTCCTTTAGCTTTAAGTTTGCAATCATTTTCATGCTTCAATTAACAGTACCAATTTGGCAATATAATTTTTATTATGTATTATGTTTGTGGAGATTAACCTTTGCTCTAAATATACTGAAGAAAATTTTGGTCATTTTTTATCATTCAAGAAAATTTTCTATCAGATGCCATTTAACCAATCTAACCATTCAAACTTCTGAATAGTTTTAGCATTGTGTACATATACAAGTTCAGTCAATCTCACATTATTTCCTCAAGGAAATAAAATCTTCATTGGTATGTTGTATGTGAAGAGGGCTCTGCTTGGAAAATACTATGTGTGTGGTCTCTTAGCATATTATGTGTTTTGCCAGTGGTGGGCAATGTTCAGGCTGAGTGATGCAAACTCTTTGATCACTGTAAACACTAACAATACAGCTGGCTGGTTTCATAGATATAGCAATGATTTTTAAAAATGATTTTCTGTAATAAACTTTGACCAACATTTAAAACCCATATTTCTAAATTTTTATTTGCTATTAATTAGATCATGTGTAAGAAAAAGATTTTTCTTATTCAGTACCTCCTATTGAATCAATTGAATTTATTTAGTCCCTTTTATTTCCTGTTAGATTATGAAGTATACATAATTTAATTATTAATAACTGATTATGCTCTCTTATGATTATTTAATTATATATTAATAATCATTGATTACATAATTATTTTTAAATACTTAACATGCATAATGACTTAATTATATATAAGGATTTTTAGTATCTCTACCCTTTCCCAAATATACTCCTTACCACTCCCTCCTGTCATATGTTAATGTTGTCCATTAGCTAATTGTTCAGTGTTTAATCATGAAACTTATCAGCATTGCTTCATACAGATCTATAATTATACTAGAGGCCCAGTGCATGAAATTTGTGCACTCAGGGAGGGGGGTGGCCCTCCACCTGGCCTGCACCCTCTCGCAGTCCAGGAACCCTCGGGGATGTCCGACTGACAGCAGTCAGACATCCTTAGCACTGCCATGGAAGAGGGAGAGGCTCCTGCCACCACCATTACACTCACCAACAATGAGTCCGGCTTCTGGCTGAGCGGTCCTCCCCCTGTGAGAGTGCACTGACCACCAGGGGGCAGCTCCTGCATTGAGTGTCTGCCCCTTGGTGATCAGTGCATGTCATAACGACCAGTCGTTCTACCATTTGGTCGATTTGCATATTAGCCTTTTATTATATAGGATAGACTACCCAGGTGTTTACCAAATTCTTTGCACATCTTGAATTCTTCTCTTTCTGGGTTCAATTTCCTTCTACCTAAACATTATCATTTAGCAGTTCTTTCAGTGAGGGTTTAATGAGGTAAACTCTTCTACTTGTGTCTTAATTTTGCCCACAATATATAATAATAAGGAGCTGGATAAATAATTTAAGTTGAAAGTTATTTTCCTCTCAGTACCTTTAATACATCATTTTTGTTATTTTGCTTTTTTTGCAGCTGTTGAAATTTTACTCTTAATTTCTTAATTCCTTTGCAGTTAATTTTAACTTCTAATTCTTTTTAATATGTTCTTGTATTTTATGAGCTGTAATCTCACTACATTGTGCCTAAATGTGCATATATTATTCTCCTGCCTGAAAACTTTCTTCTTGACTCTGCACAGTCCTGTCTTTCATCAGTTAAGAAAATTCACCTTTTCCCTTGATTCTCTCATTTTGAATCTTCTTATTTAAATCTGCTTAACTATTTTCTTCACATATATTTTCAACTTCTTTTTTCAGTGTTGCATTCTGAATCAATTTCTTGCGTTTATCTTCAGGTAACTAATAACTGTTTAGCTTAATTTCTCTAATCTCTCCATTTACCATATTTATTTCCAGCTAAAGTACTTTTTTGTTTTGGAACTTACTTCTTTTTTAATATGTTCTTTTTTCATTGACTCATTACATCTAATATTTAAATTTTTTCCTTTACACCTTTAATAAGTTTTAGCATATGCATTCTATGATCTCTATCTGCTATCTCTAATATTCCCAACCTTGAGTCTAGCCTTACTCTCTGTTGGGCATTTAAAAACCTGTTTACAATAGATTATCTTTCCTTGTGTAGTCTGCAATTTTTAATGGTGCAGTTTATCTCGGCAAATCCTGTGGCTTGGTTAAGGGATTCCCTCTTCAGAATTTTTGTTTTTGCTTATGTCAGGCACTGGTAGTACCATTTGCCTGGCACCATTTTTTATCTTAATTTCTCAGTTGTCTTTGGACACATGGAAGTACCATAAATTTGAAACCTAAACTAGTGTGGGCACAGGCCTATAGTGGGAATTTTTAGGAGAGATTTGATTTTGCCACAACCTGAGGCTGAGGATGACTGCTATTGATCATCTCTCTCCAGAGGTAAATTGAGTTTCTCTGCTCACTCGCTGATGCTACAGCCCTTTGAGGTGGATGGCATAATGCACTATGTCTGCTTGTGCTCTCTGTCTCTGGCTAAGACTTTTATGTCATGACCCTTTTGGGCTTCACTCCCCCCAAGTCTCCTTAATGTGTAACCCTCTTCCTGTACCATCCCTACCCAAGGACGACCACAGAAAGCATTAGTTCACTTTTCCTGGTTTGTTTTGGGGAATCATTTAGTTTCAAGACATCAGTTCTGCTCTTAAAAGCATTTAAAACAATACTGTAGTCTGCATGTCTAGGTGTTCTATATAGGATGATATTCAGTTATTCTGCTGTTCCATTTCCAGTCGTACTGCAGAGTCATTAAGTAGGCCTTTTCAGGCAAATAAAAGTTAAGTAGTGTGGATAAGGGAACAGGGTCACGCAGAAATAAAAACCAGGTCTTCTGACAGTCTAGTGTGCTTCTGAAAGTAGCCTTAGGATGAAAATTCAAATGATATTAAAGCTATCTGTATTATTAGAAGAGAGAATACAGATATAATATACGTTCTCTGAAATGAGTGGCCAACTTGAAATAATGTGCATGAATTATGACCCTTGTCATTTGATTTAACAACTAAATCATGTTTCCTCTATTCCAACTCAGAGGTTTGAATAAATGTTTATTAGGGGGTAAATATAAACTCTTGCTGAAATAGAAAAAAGTTTTAAAGAAAGCGTGTTTGATATGTTCAAGAGATAATTTTCAGACTAATTAAATTGAACTATTTTACAAATGAGAGGACAAACATATCAAATAGCAAGTGTTTACTAAATGTTGAACAAATCAAAGTAGTGTAAGTACTGTTTTCATGTTTACATGATGTCCAAGCTACTTCATCATATATTTCTTTTATACCCTTTTGGTTGAATACTTCCTGGTATCTCATTAGTAAGCTCTTCCTCTACTAAAAATTCCAACTAGGGTAGATGACTGGCCAGCTAATCCAATTCCCAGCAGGTACATTTTTATTAGCTTCTATCACAGTGGCTGAAACCTCCTGGCATCTCTCTTTCTATTTTGTACTCTACTGATCCAGAGAAACTTCACAGGGCAACAGCGCTTCTCTCCCACAAAATATCCAGAGATCTAATTTCCAAGAAGGGTCTGGTTCATTCAGGGATTGTCTATATTATAGTGCTTTGGACATCTCCCGCCTCAGTGTGGGTTCTTTCTAAAATGTAGCCATTGTGTGATTTAATTCCTTTTTCATTTACCATATTGATATTAGTAGAGCACAAAGAACTGTGCTTCAGAATATGATAAGTTATGAAAAATATTCATACCTTCATTAATTTACCTCAAAAAAGTGTTCACAACCATATTTCACATATCTGTTTTTATAATTGTGGGGTCCTAGTGATAGTTTTACATAAGTAAATTTTTAAATATTTTTATGTTTTTCTGTAATCTACATCCATATAATGATGCTATCGATAATCAAAGAAACATTAAATCATTTATATTTTATGGGACAGCTTTGATATATTTCTAGCAACATAGAAATAAACCACTATATTTTCTACCACTGTATCAGAGAATTTGTAGAGAATCTCTGATTAAGATGTCATGTAAAATATTCTCACCTACCTGTTATTTCAAAAGCAATGGATAGGAAAGGTGCAGCACTAGCCTTTGGCGTACTCTGATATTTACTTTTTGAAATAACAGGGAAATAGCACTGTAAGAATAGCCTTTTTTTTTTTTTCAAAATAGTTTTGACTAAAGTAGGCTAGTTTGTGGAAATGGTAGATAAAAGACTATAAAGAATTTGTATTTCATTTAGGGATAGTGACTATTTTTATTCTCCTTAATTGGTTGCAGAGCATGGGAAAACATGCTCTTTGTTCATCCTTCTGTCTATCCATTCACAGCTCAATCATCTTTCGCTCCATCCATCTTCCCATTGATCCTCCAGAACTTTCTGCTGGTTTATCTCATGCTCTGTCATCCTACAGGCTCATTATCCAGGTTGTCTTTCTTAATAACCTCAAATCCTACAGACTTCATCCAGATTTCACTGTGGATTATTAGATATGTTTTCTACCAAAGAATGTTCTTAAGTTTCCTATAATATAAATCATGGCAAGCTCCATGGTGCTTTATAACCAATACTTTTGGTTTCCCTCATTTAAAAATAGGTTCAATCTATTTTGAATGGAAGAATTTCTTAGTCACTGTAGTTAATCTACTTTCATTTCACTTTGAGCTTGTAAAAAAATCAATTTATGTTTAGGCATCCAATGATGAGCAATGTTTCATCAGCAATGTTTATACCAGTCACCTCGCCATGGGCAAGCCTTCTTCCTGCCACTTTCTGATAAGGGTAGATTTCATGCCAGCGTAAGCTGCACACTTTTCAGCCTACTGGAACTCTAATCAGCTGGCTGAACAGAAACTGCCGAGTGTTACTGCTAGCTCTTCCCTGCGGCCAGGATTGGAAGGGTTACCTAGGTCACATTAAGTATTTCTATTCATTGTTGCCTTTACAAATGTTAACGGATTCACATGACACGAGGCCATGAAAATTGAATTAAATTATGCTAAGGTGATCAGTACCTGTGTAATATGATATGCCAAGATAATAAAGGAAGTTATATGAATTTCATATATTTTTTTCAGTATTTTTGTGTCAAGAAATTGTATTTTTGAGTTAAGTATTTTATTTTGAGTTAATGTATTTTAATAGCTTGGTTACATGTGAAAACAACTTTTCTAGAATACATAGTATAGATCTGCCAAAACAAGTGTAGATTTTGTTCTTCAAATGAAGTATAACATAAATTGCTCTTGGGTAGGTTGTTCATGATGACACAGCCAGACTTTCTTGAGATCAGTACCTTCTTTTTAGAATTGATGGAGGGAGTTATTTTGAGAGATTTCCCTCTCTTCGTAAAGTAAGCCTTCATTCTTTCATAGTTATTGAATGAAGATACATGGAACATTCTTCACATCCCACAGTCAAATTGTGCTCCATTCACACATATTTATAGTCCTTGGGATGCTGGTGCATTGAATAAGTTTCCAATTGGGAAATGCTAAGTGCTTCTGGGGGGAAACTTATATAGTCTAAGTTTGAGAAGTAAAAGCTGAAACTTTTAGGGAAAAATCAACTTTTTTTCCAAAGAGGATTATAGTAGTCTTGCTGTGTGACATGAAAGGATGCATATTCCTAAGTTATTTATCTTACATGCTTCCATGATAAATATTAATTTCAGAAGAACTGATTATTTCCATATCCACTGATCTTAGCTTTGGCATTTGTTACTCCAAAAGATACATCTTACAATAATATTCTTTTTGTTTTTCCTTTTGGTGTGACTTTTATTTTTGGTACTCTGCTGTGTTTTGACAGCAGTAGGGAAAATCCATGACAAAATGATTTTAAAATGTATCCAGTTCCAATTCCAAACCCCAAAGGCTATTTTGAAAGTAATAACCTACAGGACATAATTGACATTCAGAAACTAAACTCTGAACTACCTCTAGCAATGAAATTATACTACTCTGAGAGGACGGCTATAATAAATCCACCTAAGAGTGTTAAAAAACGTAGCCATTAATGTGGCCAAGAAAATATTAATGTACTAACATTATATGTTTTATACTACTTCCTTACAATTTCAAGATATATTAGTAGTAAAATGTATCCTGAGGCTAGATTCCTAAATGAGTTGACAAGCTATGTAAAGTTAGTGGATAAAAAACAATTAAATGTTGCAAGTTACACATGCAAAACTTCCGTGATTGCTTTTCATGAATTGCTGGTCACTGGTGCCACTCCTTTTCGGGGAGGCAGTGGAGTCATCTTTTGTTTTTCGGAACACCCATTTCTCTTGGTTCTTTCCTCTTTTTTTCTGGTTATTCTTGATCAGATTCCTTCTTTGTGTGTCTCCTGCCTCCTTTTTAGGTCTCTGTTAATATGAACTAAGGTCTTTATTCTTCACCCTTTCCAACCAACATATTTGGTAGGGAATTATCCCATCATACCCACAACTTGCTAAATACAACACACTCATCTTTTCTGGCAAGATTTCTCTCTTTTTTTGCTTCTCTTTAATGGTGTGCTAATGCTGTTCCCTCTTGCATTCATGACCCATTTAACTTTATGACACATACTCCTCATCACTTGGCTCAAGTACCACTTCCCTCCTCTGTGAAGGTTTCTGTTTCTGTGATTCCCCTACAGTTATTCTAAAACTCACTTATAATGCATAGCATATTGCATTATTAACTACTGACTTGTTTATGTGCTCTCATGATGACCAGGAACATTTCCCTGATACAAAATTTGTATTGACATTTCTATCCTCACCACCTTACATAATTTTTGGAACTCTGTTGTTAACTAAAAAAATATACGTTGAATACAGTAGTGATAGACACCCTGCTATCCTTCAGGTAGAGGGGAATGTAAGAGGGTTAGCGTATAGCATTACTTAAAAATACCCATAATTGTATGGGCATAAAAGCTACTAATTAAATATAAACTTGATCCAATAATGATTAGAATTTCAGAGTAATAGTAATATGTGATAATATATACATTTAGACATGGCCATCTTGAAATCACTTATCCTTTTGTACATTTATTATATCTGGTCCAAAATTGAGATTTAAACAAAAATATTCTAAAATGTGTTTAACTGAAAGATTAAAATAAGTCATACCTTTGCGTTAAAGGTTTATTTTTGTTTTGTTTTTACTGTAGTTTGATTCTGTATTTATTCTGTATTGATTTCATTTAAACTCAAATTGAATTTTTTACTAAATACTACAATTAACGTATTTTTCAACCACATTATAAGTAGAAAAAGGAGGTATTTTTTTATAGGTAGGTTGTAATTCTTATACCAAGCAAAGAAAACTTGGGCTTTAGAATAATACTTCTCTGCATATAATTACAAGATTAGGTTTTATTCCATTTTTGTAAATAACTACTCCTAAATTTTCACTCAGAGCCTGAAGTTAGAAAATTTAATAATAGATATGTCAGCAAATCACAACTGACAAAAGATGAAATTGAATTAAATTGTTACAACCAAAATTTGGATTATTGTTCACCATAGTGGACAGCAACCATAATGTGAACAGAAATATGGCTATGCATGCCCCAGAAGGCTGGGTATATATTCCTGCAGCATCCCATGCGCAGTCTCCATGCGTGATCCTTGAGAAGAAAACACAGCTTACCTTCTTTGTCCTTGTGGGTCTTTAAATGTGAGAGGTTTTCATTGGTCTGCACGCAGTACACCTCTCGGGTCTGGACCCCCCCTCCACAGAGGGCCGTCTGGTTGCCTCGCCTCTTGTCCTGCTGACTCAGCAAAGGGTCCACGTGGCACTCGGTCCACTCTGTGGCTCTCCAGCCATACCTGAACACAGAAAATGCCATCAGCGGCAGCCATGTCTACTGAAAAACTCTGCTCTGCTCATTTTTTTTCCTTAAAAAAGTAATTCAAAAAACACTTTCCTCTTGAAGCAATCATAAACTACCATATCTCCGGTGCAGATTCAGGTTCAATTTCTTCTCCTTTATCCTCAACAGTGCTCCATTTAAGGAGGAGTTTAATTTAGGATGATTTTGTTTTAATTGCAATCACTGAAAATTGCTTATAAATATTTTATTACAAGATAGCATAATGCTGAAAACATGAAATTTTATGTTCAGTTAAGCCAAACTCGGGCTTGCCCTTTCTCAATACTTATAAACAAAGGGGGACTGAATCTGAGAATGGAAAACCTTACAAGTGATGATCAACCCCAACATTTGTTTTGCCTGTAATAAAATGCATGAAAATTGCTTCTTAGAATTGGGGGCACAACATTGAACCACAGTGTGTCATTTAGGATGCTTTCAGTGTGGTAATAATTCTGCTGGAATAAAAAGAAGAATAGAGATAGGGTGATATCAAGGTTGATGGTTTCAGAGGCTCTAGAACAGCCGTGGGCAAACTACAGCCCGTTTGAAATGAATAAAACTAAAAAAAAAAAACCAAAAAAACTGTACCCTTTTATGTAATGATGTTTACTTTGAATTTATATTAGTTCATACAAACACTCCATCCATGCTTTTGTTCCGGCCCTCCGGTCCAGCTTAAGAACCCATTGTGGCCCTCGAGTCAAAAAGTTTGCCCACCCCTGTACTAGATCAAAATTATAATTGTGCTTTAGGATTCAAAAATATAACAATTTAGAGATTTCTCTTCATTGTCAAGAATGAATGTTTTTGCCCTAGCCAGTTTCGTTCACTGGGTAGAGCATCAACCTGTGGACTGAAGGGTCAGGGTTCGATTCTAGTCAAGGGCACACACCTCAGAGTTGTCGGCTTGATCCCTGGTACTGGTTGGGGCGCAGGAGGGAGGCAACCAATAAATGAGTCTCTCTCTCTCCTCCACTCTCTCTAAAAAACAATGGAAAGGCGGGGGTGTCAATCGGGGAAAAAGGAGACATATATAATACTTTAAACAATAAGAAAAAACAACAAAAAAGAATGCGTGTTTTTCTGTAGCACTGAGCATCCCTGACGAGTGCTAATAAATGATGAAAAGAGCTGACGTTTCTAATCAGTGGCTCACAGGAAAGACAATCTGTGATTCTAAATTAAAGCTCCCATCAAGATTATGATGTGGAAGAAATGTCAGGAGCTTGTCAGGCCAGCACATACTTTAAGGAGATAGTCAGGGAACCATTTCCTGATGCCAATGAAGATAGGAACTGGTGGCATTTCTCTACCACAAGGAAAATGGATAGTCTAAAAGCACAAAGAAAATGGCTCATGCAGCACTCTGTGTCACTTTAACCAAGATGCTTCCCTACTAATCAGATTAACAGCCAGCATAGGTACAAATGGATGTCCTAATGCTCATCTCGATTAGAAGGAAAGATTAAATGGGCTCTCAGATGTCTGATCTAAGCGCTCTGCTTTGTCAAGGGGAAAGTTTCATGACAGGAGAGCTGACTTGCGTGCCCCTTTTTCATTTTTATAAGTGAGGGTTCATGGTTTAACAGAGGTGCAGGACAGGGGCATCAAGTAATAACAGTCTTAACACATGTTTATAAGGGAAGTACAGCATTCATGTTAATTCTAAAAACATGGATAATTGATGCCTTGGGCAAAGTGTGGCAGGTGGCAGGCAGGGGTGTGAGAAAAGTAAAACCAAACAAATCATTCATCAGGGGAGTTAAATTAACACTTTGTATTTTTATAGAATGCAGTCTCAATTTAGGTCACCTAAGGAGTCCTAGGAAAGGAATAAATACCAAAAATGTAAATTGGTGTCCTGCTGGTATGTCTTAGTGGTTGAATGTCAACCTATGAACCAGAAGGTCATGGTTCAATTCCCAGTCGGGGCACATGCCTGGGTTGCAGGCTTTGTCTCTAGTGGGGATGTGTGCCAGAGGCAGCCGATCCATGGTTCTCACTCATCACTGATGTTTCTCTCTCTCTCCCTCTCCTTTCCTCACTGAAATCAATGGGGGGAGGGGCAAAGTAAATTGGTGACACATCCTAAAAATGCTATTCTCCCAAAAGCTGGGGGCGGAGGGGAGATAAAGAGACTCAGAATATATATATATTTTTGTTAATGGTGCTTGAATATCTGAGAAGAGAAAGAATAAGACACCTAGCTTGAGACAAAAATAAAAGAAATTCATTGAAGACAAATACTCTGGCTGGAGATCCAGGCAAATTCCTGGAGCCTATTATGTGAAGAGGAGCATAGGAGTCAGTGGGGCCAGAGGAGGAGACAGGCAGGAAGCACCCTGGGGTTTCCAGCCACTTGGTACATCACGGGAGAATGGAGGATTCCAAAGTGCTGCAGAATTGAAGATCTCATATAAACCATCACTATCCTCGTTAGTGTTATTCTTATTAGAAGAGGAGTAGGAATAGTATTTTCCTCCTTACTGGTTCATGAAGTTCATGTTCTTTAAATGTTTGCACTATTCCAGAGAAAAACCTAATGAAGCTTGTATATATCTACTGAGAAACTAGGATTCTCAAAGTTGTTTTTTATAAATATTCTAAATAGTCTATATTCAGACAAAACTGAAATGTATTTATTGTGAAGATGATTCAAAGTAATGTCTTAGAAATCATATTTTTAATGACAAAAAGAATAAGGTTATAGTGCCAAATATTTCAAAATTTATCTGAATTCAATGAACATTTATTGGGTGCTTACTGTGCGTCAGGCCCTGGGTAATATGCGTCTCAGTTTTTTAAAAAGTGAATAGGCATAATCTTTGTCCTCAAGGAGCTTCAAGTCTTATTATTTTAATGTAGTATTTTATTTTACTCAATAGGATTTGTTATATGTAGTACTGAATTTTAATAGGACTTTCTTATTTTATCTTATAGGATAGAGCTTGTATTGCCTGACAACCAAATCCAACCTGTCTTCTACTTTTATAAATAAAGTTTTATTGGAACGTATCCACACCCATTTACATATTATCTGTAGCTCCGGAGATAGAATTGCATCTATTTGGCTCATAAAGCCTAATACATTTGCACTCTTCCTCTTTTAAAAAAAAAGTTTGCTAATACCTACTATAGAAAATATATAAACAGAGAATTGCTGCTAAAAGTCTAGCCCTCATGGAGCCTTGGAAATATAGCTTGCTAAAGACACTTTTATAAGGTAAAATCATTTCTTTTTAGGATAGTGTTTGTAAAGACATATTTTCTTCTCTGAATTAAAATTTGTAAAAATCACTATTTCTCAACTGACTCTTTAGCTGAACTTAAACAGACTTGCCATTTGGGCAGAGACGGCAGCAGAGGCTGCAGTCTCATTTACTCACGTGGCACAGGGAGCAGCTGCCTCTCCTTGAGACACGCAGGGTTCTGTTTCCTCAAGTTCTGGGCACTCCTCCTCACTGCCAATAGGAAACTGCCTGATGATCCGTGTCCTTACACGAGTGCCTTTAGGGGACACCGTATCGTGGCACGTTTTTGAGCAGGGGCTCCACTCTGACCACTCCGACACCTGGCACTCTTTGGTGATCACACAGGACTGGAAGGTCATTGGCAGCTTCTCCTGCTGGCACAATCTGCAAAAGAGCATTGATATTCTCATCACACACACAGGCAGTTATGAACTTGGTCTTCTGTGTTCCATAGTGAAATCAGCCTGGACATTTTTATTTCTACTTGGAGGTAGAATTCTAATTTCATTGAAAATACATCAACATTTATGATGTGTAAAAGCAGTTAGACCCAAAGCTAACATTTGCATTTCCTCCTATTTTGTAAGAGTAGTTAAACCATTCATGGGCAATAGAAAATAAAGGGACTAAGCAAAATTAGCTGAAACGAAGTTTACCATATTGTTCATTTCACTCATTCCAGATTTGTTTTAATTTAGAAAATGAGAAACCAAGAACTGTTACCGTATGATAATTTCCATTCTGTTTAGTGATTTAATTAAATAAACATGCCTGGCTAACTCAATACAATATGGTTTTAAATAGAAAAAGTAGTTTGCTTAACATTATCGTTAATATCATTTGAAACGTTAGTTGTCACTTATAATGCATGTTTATTCAAATAAATCAACTTTTCCAGTTCACACTTTAATATATAGTATATATATATGGATATCCTAATTATTAAATATACCATAACCATTAGAAATAGAATCCATTTATATCCATATTACTATAGATATATCTAGTAAATATATATCTAATATTTACTGAAAAGTATGTATGTTTGAATTCTTATCTATCTATGCCTTCTTGGATTATAGGAATGTTGGATTTTAAATTGTAATGTCTATATATGAAGATGAAGATGATGTTATGAATGTCCATGACTAAGGGCATATGCACTTTGAGAAAACTCCTGGAATTGAAAGGCCTTGTGTTTATTCTTAGTTGAACTCTTGCCCATTCTCCGTGACCAATAATGCATGTTTATGAGACAAAGACAGTCTGTCGCCATGATAGAGCCATTTGTTCCAATGGGAGAATGCACTGATGGTTCTGCTTGTCATTCAAGGTGCTATATTTAACTATGGTAATCAACCATACAGAGGCAGGTCCATTTTAATGTACTAGCTCACATTCAATGCTCTTAATTTTACTGGCATGTGTACAAAAATTGCACTCTTAGGAGACAGCTAGAAGCATCAAAGTCCATTTGTCTGAGTTGAGATGTCTGGGAAGTAGGATGAAGTGCGAGTGGTGGTCAAAGGGCCTTGTGAGTCAGCTCTGTTTTTCTTATCACCACAGAGAGGACTAAAATCCCATTTTTACTCAAATATCATGTATTGAGTATTAACAGTGCATTAGATATAGCACTAACCATAGAGCAAAACTTCTGTGATAATCAAGTTTTCACACTTATACTCGTGAGTTTATCTATGAAATCAGGCAAAATAATATCCAAATGATAACCTCTATATTTCTTCCCTTACAAAATTCTCCCTATTTAATTTCCTCTTGGATACATGTCCTAACCTTCATGAGATTTAATATGGATGTACCCAGGGCATATCCAAGAGAAAGAAGTACCCCGTAGGTAGACCCAGACAGGAGGCTCAGGGTTTGGTAAAGTTGTGGATGACTTCTACGCTTTTAGAAACCATGAGCATATTAGAGGGAAAAAGCTAAGACCACAAGAGTAGCTGAGCACTCACATACCGGGGCTCATTTTAGGCTTGCATAATTCACACATGGCCTTACGGTGAACCTTGGTAGGCCCATGAGCAATGTGATATTTATTAACTTCATTTTTTTATTGTTAGTGAAACTAAATATAATCACCCATGGTTGTTAAATTATTCAGCTGCCATCCTCTAACCATTCTCTCCTTTATTCTGGCCATGCAAAAAGTTGACACTATAGGGCTTAAGGGAACAACCTATTCTGGTTCATTATGATTTTCATGAGAACATGACCCTCTGGGAAGTCAAAGGCATGAGCTGTGCTTGTTGGTTGTCTGTGGACCGCCACCATCTCAATTAACTGGAAGCTTGATAGACTCACAAAATTTCAGATCCCCAGGCATATCCCCTATTGAATAAGAACAAGTATTTTCACTTTCCCAGGTGATCCGTGTGCACAATGAAGTTTGAGAACACTGGTCTAGAGCTAACTGCTAATCAGTCGAAAAATATAAAGCCACCCGATAATTACAATTGGCAAATGAATCTTTATCAGTGCAGCCTTATTTCTTTCAGACAATGGGGACTGACTAAATCGCACAAAAAGAAATTTAGTACCAGATATTAGGTGGTTTATACAGTAATTGGATAGGCTGGAGGAAAAGGCTTCTAAGACAAGCCTCCAGCTTTCAGCCCTCAGAATCACTTCACCGTTTCTCTGATCCAGAAAGCTTCTTTGGTGGCTACCAGAAGCCACATTTTTGGCACTAACTTCCCTGTTAAATGGGTACTTCTGCCTCTTCCTTCTGACTTCAGTGTAAAACCCAAGCCTAGCACGTTATTGGGGTCTAAATGTAAGTCAGATCCAGAAACCTGGCTGCAAGCAGCTTTGCACACTTTGTTGTATGATGTAGTTTTCTGCCTTTGAAGTACAGGAAATCCCACTAGCTCAGGGCTAGTCAAAATGTGGTCCATAGCTGTGTGCAACTGCTCCTGAGGGCTGTGCAATGAGCTCAGCACAGAGCTGAAAGTAAATGCTGAGGCATTTTTACAGCAATTTGAAGTCTGCAACCCTCAAGTGCATGGCCGGTGGACACAATTCACTGAACATTGTATAAGCCAGTTTTGTTCATGTTGAACTCTATGGTGAGAGGCATATGGCATGAGCTACATGCTAGACATACACAGTACAACCATGTTGTTGGAGATGTAGGAAAGCAAATAAACACAGAGATAAAAATCAGCCAGAATCCGATTCTTTAACATAGATAGCTTGAGAAGCACCACACTGGTGGTATTGGATGATTCATGAGTCTGCTAACCTGCGGTAACCCCCAAACCCAGCTCGCTTCCTAGCTTCTTCATTAGGCCAATGGAGTGTGATGAGCTCATATGATTTTTCATAAATAGAAATCATTTGGGCACTTAAGAACATATTATCTATAAACAGGATCCTTAGCAATCTGTCTTTTTTAGCTCCTACAGAAGAAGTCAATAATAAGAACTTATAATCTTATTGAATTAAAGAACTTTTTTTTTCCTTTCTGTAAAGGTACAAACCAATTCAATAACATTATTCATGTTACAGGAAGATTGTTTATATAGAGGATATCACCCTAAACCTTTTCATAATATCAACAAGCACCCCCAAATTTTATATGAACGGACACAACTTGGTGTTCAGAGAAGATTAAATTTTCATTTTGTTTGTATGAAGCAAAATATATTTGTGGGCTTGATACTCTGTTATGACAACATGGTCACACACTTTATTTGATTAGGTAGTTTGTTCTAAGAATGAAAGTGGCTGTCTTAATCCTGGTCAGCAAAATGTAAGGGTAAGGGGGCTTAAACCACATAGAGACTATTATTGTAACTCTCGTGACTATTTCAGAAAAAAAAGAGACATGCTTTTTGAGGTAGATGCATTTTTTGCATATACTGGTACATGACTGATATGGTCCTGAGAGCCATTAGCCAATTGACAGTCCCTTCTATGGTCCCATACCTCAGGAGTACTTATGAACAGATTTAATGTTAAAATTATATTCAGAGATGAATAAAAGAACATAATGCTCAGATACATTTATTTTTTCCTACGAATCTACTGTTTGCTTTTTCAATGAAAAAAGTGAATGGAACCAGAGGACTGCCCGGGTTTTTCTGAGTCCCCCATCTGTAGCAAGTTAGAAAATGATAACTTCTGTGCTCAGAGTCAAGAGCCCCCAGACTTTCCTAAGCTGCCGTTCTTGAGTTGCATGACTCTTACCTGGTGGCAATTACTGCCCCATGG